GTGGCTGACTGTTCCTCTGTCTGGCTTCCTGTCTTTTAATCCCCTTTCTCCTGCTCTTCTGGCCTGCTTCTTTGGGCGTCCCTGAGTTTCCCCTCCTCATCTAATCCCTTCGGCTGATTGCTCTTCTCTTTGGCTTCCTGGGTTTTATCCCCTTTCTCCTGGTCTTCCAGCCTGCTAGAAAGTATGTTAGGTGATAAATATTTATAGTTTTTATCTACTACATTTTGGGGTGATTTTTTTTATGTGGCAGTTGATAAATAATTCATGAGCTTGACATGTTAGAGGAAGCCAGAAGGTCCACATGGCTGAAATATAGTAGTTGAGAAGAAGCATGATACAAGATAAAATCAGAGGCATAGAGACACAGAGCCTATATCATCTAGGGTCTTCCATAGATAGGAGTTTTATTTTATTCTAAGTGTAGTAGGAAACCATCAGAGTGTAGTGATCTGATTTTTAATTTTTTAAAAAACATTCTGACTTAAAGGAAAAGGTATTTATCATCTTAAATAAATGGAAATTTCAGGATCGGATATAACCCAGGTACTCAAACAATATTATCAGAAATCTGTCTCTCACCACCTCTGCCTCTTATTTTCTGTGTTGGGTTCATCTTCAGATGTTTTTCTCCATGTAGCTGGGAAGATAGCCACAGTATCTCCAGGCTTGTGTCTTCTAAAAAGCTGACAAATCCAGAGAAAAGGATACAACCCTCTTTTCTTTCCCAGTGATAGAACTCTGATTGGGGTCACATGCTTATCTGATTGATTACTGTGATGAGGGTCATTCTGGAACATGGAGACCACAAGATTGTCCATGTTCCAGAATGGATTAGTTTCCAAAAGGAAAGACTCTCTATGGACAAGTGGAATAGGACAGTGGCCTTGCACAGAGTACAAGCACATTATTTATGTAATTGAATGAATGATGTAGAATCTTTGAGGTTTAATCATCATTGACTGTGAGCACCCATGAACACCTAAGCAAACAACTAGACTGATGTGGATGGTGGGTGTCAGAACAAGAAGAGACTCATATAAATTCAAGTTAGTGTAACCAGTAAGACTAACTTTAGTCAGTGTAAGCATTGTTGCTACATAACTCTTCTGGGTGCTACTCTGTCTTGGGCAGGCCTTTGGACTTTTCTAGTAACTCTCAGACACTGAATCCAATTCATACCTCTTCCTTTTGTTTCAGGGATTACTTGTGGCCTTCCAGTACTGCTTTGCCAATGGAGAGGTACGTTTTCCATGCTGCCATCCTGGTCACATGTAAGACTGGGGCTTGGGTCCTCCTGCCCCTGGAGGTTTCTGTTTATGTGATGGTGCTATAGGGGCACATACAGGGACCAGCATGCATTGGGACAAGATTGTTTTGTGAGCATCCAGTGGAGGCAGCTTCAGGACATTGGAAGAAAGCATTAAGATGGGTGTGAAGAAACTCAGATTGCATTCCTGGCCCTGCTGGAGATATTCTAGGAATATTAAAGTGAAACAGAGGAAATAAGTCTGAACTCTGGAGTCCAAAAAGCTAGATTCAAGTCTAAGTTCATCCATGTATGTGCTCTGCTTCTTTGAGCCTCAGTTTCCTCATCTGTAAAATGGGAATAATAACTCCCTACCTAATTCCTTAGTGATACCACCTTGGAAACCCAAGGAGGGGTCACTATGAGTCGGCTACAACTCGATAGCAGTGTGTGCATGCATGCACACCTCATAGTGTAAGGAGCTCTGGTGATGTAGTGGTTAAAGCACTCAATGCTAACCAAAATGTCATTGGTTTGAAACTACCAGCCACTCTAAAAAAGAAAGATGAGGCTGTCTGCTTCTGTAAAGTTTTACATCCTTAGAAACCCTGTAGGACAGTTCTACTCTGTCCTAAAAAGGTCACTATGAATCAGAATCAACTTGATAGCAGTGGGTTTTTTAGGGGAAGTTACTTCATAGTGTTGTCCTAGGGAGGCTGAGCATATAGTAGAAGCTCAATACATAATAATTTTGATTATTTCTTTTATTATTATTATTGCATGGCCCCAACCAGCTCTCTGCTCCCCTGAGAAGAGGCTTGTAAAGCGGAGGGACAGAGGCCAGAACAGGTTTTTCTCTTGCCTCCAGGAGTTGGTGGAGTTTCCAGTCCCCTTTGGTCCCTTCTCCCATCCCAGGTTTAAATATCTATTTTAGTCTCCTCCCACTAGAATGTAAACTATTTTTATCCCCCAAGTACACTTTAGATTTAGGAGAACCTGTATTACTGTTTTATTAGAAGTATCTAATAAGCCTGCCCAGTTATTAGAGTAGAAGGAAAAGTTGATGAAAGAATAAATTAATTTTTTGAACATTATATTGTGTTTTAGGTGACGTTTACACAGTAAATTAGTTTCCCATTCAACAATTTACATACAAATGTTTCCGTGCATTGGCTATTATCCCTGCAACATGTCAGCACTCTCCTCATTTCCACCCTGGCTTCCCATTTCCATCCTTCCAGTTTCCCTGTCCTTCCTTGCTTTCTCATCTTTGCTTTTGGGCAAATGCTGCCCATTAGGCCTCCTATAGTTGATTGTTCTAAGGAGCACATTCCTCATGATTATTATTTTTTATTTCATAGGCCAGTCTATTATTTGACTGAAAGGTGACCTTTGGGAGTGGCTTCAGTTCCAGGTTAAAAGATTAACTTAGGGCAATAGTCTTAGGGGTTCCTCTAGTCTCCATAAGTCAAGTAAATCTGGTCTTTTTTATGAATTTGAGTTTTGTTCTATATATTTCTCCCATTATAACTCTGACCTTCTATTACATCCCTGGTCAGTGCAGTTGGTAATGGTAGTTGGACACCATCAGTTCTTTTGGTCTCAGGCTAGAGGATGCTGTGGTTTGTGGGGGTCATTAGTCCTACTGACTAATTGTTTCCTTCAGTCTTTGGTTTCCTTCACCCTCCTTTGCTCCAGATGGGGAAAGACCAGTAGTTGTATCTTAGATGGCCATTCACAAGCTTTAAAGACCCCAGACACTACTCACTAAACTAGGATGTAGAACATTAATTTTTATGAACTATTCTATGCCAGTTAACCTAGTTGTCCTCCACGACTGTGGTCCTTAGGCTTCAAGCCCAGTAACTCAAGTCCCATAAGGTATTTGGATTGGCGTAGTGCCTAAGGCATTTGACTGCTAACCAGAAGCCTGGTGGTTCAAACCCATCAGCCACTTCTTGGAAGCAAGACTGGGCAATCTATTTTCGTAGAGATACCACCTTGGAAATCCAAGGAGGGGTTGCTATGAGTCAGCATCAACTCGACAGCAGTGAGTTTGTTTTTGTTGTTGTTGTTGTTGTTAAGTTTCCAGAACCATGTCCCCTATATGTTCTATTATATATATATATATATGAATGTATATGCAGCATTTACAAACCAAAGTCAAACCTAGCTGCTGTCAAGTCAATTTTGACTCATAGGACAGAGTAGAATTGCCCCATAGCATTTCCAAGGCTCTAAATCTTGATGGAAGCAGACTACCACATCTTTTTCCCATAAAGCACCTGATAGTTTCAATCCACTGACCTTTCAGTTAGCAACCAAGTGCTTTATCTCTGTGCCACCAAGGCTCCCACATATAAATGTGTACATACAAATGTCCACAACTATACTTGTGTACGTATGCACATGTATTCCCATATGCCCTTCCATACCTATATAGCATACATATCTACCTTTGTAACTACTCACACCAGCATTCATCCGTCAGTTTGTTGTACTGTGGTGGCTTGCATATTGCTATGAGTCTGGAGCCTATGCCACTGGTGTTTCAAATACCAGCAGGGTCAACCATGGTGGACAAGTTTCAGTGGACCTTCCAAACTAAGACAGACTCAGAAGGAAGGGACCATCCACTTCTCAAAGAATTGGCCAGTGAAAACCTTATGAATAACAGTGAAATACTGTCTGACATATTAGTGGAAAACTTTATGAATAGCCCTGAAACACTGTCTGATATAGTGCCAGAAGATGAGCTCCTCAGTCAGAATGCACTCAAAATATGACTGAGCTGCCTCCTCAAATTAGAGTTGACTTTAATGACATGGATGGAGTAAAGCTTTTGAGACCTCCATTTGCTGATGTGACATGACTCAAAATGGGAAGAAACAGCTGGAAACATCCATGAATAATTGAAACATGGAATGTACAAAGTATGAATCTAGGAAAATTGGAAGTTGTCAAAAATGAAATGGAACATGTAAAGATTGATATCCTAGGCATTACTGAGCTGAAATGGACTGGCATTGGCCATTTTTTAATCAGACAGTGAGACGGTGTGCTATGCCAGAAATGACAATTTGAAGAACAATGACATTGCATTCATAGTCAAAAAGAATGTTTCAAGGTCTACCCTGAAGTACAATACTGTCAGTGATAGTATAATATCCATACACCTACAAGGAAAACCAGTTAATACTACTATTATTCAAATTTATGCACCCAACCACTAAAGCCAAAAATGAAGAAATTGAAGATTTTTACCAACTTGTGCACTCTGAAATTGAGCAAATATACAACCAAGATGTATTGATTATTACTGGTATTTGGAATGCAAAAGTTGGAAACAAAAAATCACTGGTAATTGGAAAAGATGGCTTTGGTGAAAGAAATAATGCTGGAGATCACATGATAGAATTTTGTAAGACCAATGACTTATTCATTGCAAACATTTTTTCAACAATGTAGATGGTGGCTATACACGTAGACTTTGCCAGATGGAATATGCAAGAACCTGATCAACTACATCTGTGGAAAGAGGTGATTTGCAAGCACAATATCTTCAGCCTAAACAAGGCCAGAAGCTGAATGTGCAACACACCATCAATTGCTAATATTCAAGTTCAAGTTGAAGCTGAAGACAATTAAAACAAATCTAGTCCATGAGCGCAAAAAATATGACCTTGATTATATCCCACCTGAATTTAGAGACTGTCTGAGAATGAATTTGAAGCATTGAACAACAACAACCAAAAACCAAATGAGTTGTGGGATGACATCAAGAACATCATACATGAAGAAAGAAAAAGGTCATTAAAAAGATAAGAAAAGAGGAAAGACCAAAATGGATATTAGAAGAGATTCAGAAATTTGCTCCTGAATGGAGAGTAGCTGAAGCAAACAGAAGATATAACAAGATAAAAGAACTGAAAGAAGATTTCAAAGAGCAGCTTGAGAAGACAAAGTCAATGATTATAATGAAATGTGCAAAGACTTGGACTTAGAAAACCCAAAGGGAAGAATACACTTGGCATTTCTCAAGGTGAAAGAACTGAAGAAAAAATTCAAACCTCGAATTGCAATATTGGAGGATTCTATGGGCAAAAATATTGAAGGATGCAGGAAACATCCAAAGAAGATGGAAGGAATACACAGAGTCACTGTACAAAAAATAATCGGTCAATGTTCTACTGTTTCAGGAGATGGCATATGATCAAGAAGCAATGGTATTGAAGGAAGAAGTCGAAGATGCACTGAAGGAATTGGTAAAAAACAAAGCTCCAGGAATTGATGAAATACCCTTTGAGATGTTTCAACAAACAGACACCCCACCAGAGGCACTTACTTATCTATGCCAAGAAACTTGGAAGACAGCTACCTGAACAACTGACTGGAAGAGATGCATATTTGCATCCATTCCAAAGAAAGGTGATCCAACAGAATGTGGAAATTACCGAACAATATCATTAATATTACATGCAAGTAAAATTTGGTGAAGATAGTTAAAAAACAGTTGCAGCAGTATATTGACAGGGAACTTGCAGAAATGCAGGCTGAATTGAGAAGTGGATGTGGAATGAGGGATAATTGCTGATTTCAGATGGATCTTGGCTCAAAGGAAAGGATACCAGAAAGATGTTTACCTACGTTTTATTGACTATGTAAAGTATTCTGCAGTGTTCATAACAAATTATGGATAACATTGAGAAGAATAGGAATTCCAGAACACTTAATTGTGCTCATGAGGAACCTGTACATAGACTGTCATTCAAACAGCAGAGGACATGGCATGTTTAAAGTCAGAAACAGTGTGCATCAGGGTTGTATCTTTTCACCATGCTTACTCAATCTGTATGCTGAGCAAATAATTCAAGAAGCTGGCCTATGTGAAGAAGAATACAGCATCAAGATTGGAGGAAGACTCACTAACAACCTGCAACACGCAGACAACACAACCTTGTTTGCTGAAAGTGAAGATGACTTGAGTCATTAGTAAGTTCTGTGATCTGTTCATCTTCTTTAATAATGCTTTAGCTCTTTGGGGCCTCTTTTCCTTTCCAGATAAAGTTGGACATTAGTTTTCCATTTTGCTAAAGAATGTTACTGGGATTTGATCTGGATTAATTATATCTATAGATTGCTTTGGGTAGTGTTGACCTTTCCACAGTATTTAGTCTTCCAGTCCATGAGCGTGGTATGTTTTTCCATTTACATGTCTCTTTTGTCTTCTTGCAGTAATAATTTGTAGTTTTCCTGGCTTAAGTCTTTTATGTCCCTGGTTAGATTTATTCTTAAGTATTTTATCCTTTTGTGGACTATTGTAAATGATATTGTGTCTTGATTTCCTTTTTGGTGTTCTTCTTATTAGTGTTGGAAAATACAACTGATTTTTGTACGTTGATCCTGTATCCTGCCACTTTGCTGAAACTTTCTATTTGTTCCAATAACTTTCATGCGGAATCTCTGGGATTTTCTATGTATAGGAGCATATCATCTGTGAATAAGGAGTGTTTTATTTGTTCCTTACCTATTTGGATCCCCTTTATTTCCCTCTCTTCCGATATTGTTCTGACTAGAACTTCCAGTACAATATTGAGTAAGAGTGATGATAATGGGCATCCTTGTCTCATTCCTGTTCTCAAGGGGAATGCTTTCAATCTCTCTCCATTGGGAGTAATGTTGGCTGTTGGTTTTGCATAAATGCCCTTTATTATGTTGAGGAATTTCCCTCCTATTCTTATTTTGCTGAGAGTTATTTATAAGGAAAGGGTGTTGGATTTCATCAAATACCTTTTCTACATCAATTGAAATGATCATATGATTCTTTTCTTTTGTTTTATTTATGTGGTAATTATGTTGTTTGATTTTCCGATGTTGAATCATTCTTGCACTGCTGGTATGAATCCCACCTGTTCATGATGTGTTATGTTTTTGATATGCAGTTGAATTCTGTTAATGAAAATTTTGTTGAGATTTTTTGTTTATACGTTCATGTGGGATATAATTTTCTTTTTTTGTGGTATCTTTGCCTGGCTTTGGTATCAGGGCTACGCTGGCTTCATAGATGAATTAGGGAGTATTCCTTCCTTTTCTATGTTCCAGAATAGTTTAAATAGAATTAGTGTTAACTGTTCTCTGAATGTTTGGTGGAATTTTCCCTGGGTCAGGGTTTCTTTTTGTTGGGAGTTTTTGTTTTGTTTTTAAATGCATCTTCAGTTTCTTCTTTTGTTATGGGTTAAGTTATATCAAATTTTTATAACTCTCAGAAAATCAGAAGTTGAATATAATAGGTGAATATTGTAAATCATCCTTCCATATCCAGAGGTTCCACATCCATGGATTCAACCAACTGAGGATTTAAAACATTTTGGGAAAAAACAAAAAAGCAACGAAGTAGTCAAAGCAATCCCTCAAAGGGTAAGAGGTTGCGTAAAGTGCTATTTACACAACATTTACATCGTATAGGTATTATAAATGATCTCTAGATAACTTAACTTATATAGAAGGATGTGTGTAAGTTATATGCAAATACTAAACCTATCAGTGACTCCTTAGAAGGAAGGTTGGGCAATCTACTTCCCTAGTGATACCGCCTTGGAAACCCAAGGAGGGGTTGCTATGAGTCCATCTACTCAATGTCAGTGAGTTTGAGTTAGATGTCATTTTTGTGGATTTTGGTATCCAAGGGAGACCTGAAACCAATCCCCGGCAGATACCGAGGGACAACCATATATCTAAATACAGAATCAGTACTAGTAGAAATCATGATGTCTATCTGCTTCCCCCCCTCAAGGTCAATTTCCCTTTCCCCAACTTTAAGGTCCCATATCAACAAAACAGACCGTGACTTATACTAGCCATGATATTAAACCAAAATCAAAACAATAGTGACTCATGGTGACCCTATGTGTGACAGAGTAGAACTGAGTTCCACAGGGTTTTCTTGGCTGTAATCTTTACTGAAGCAGATCACCAGGCCTGTCTTCTGTGAAAGTGGGTTCAAACCACCAAACTTTTCATTAGTAGTCAAGCTCAAACCGAGCAGTAGTTGAGCACATTTGTGCTGCTCAGGGACCCAATTTAAGTGCTAGCTGATATTTAACACAGATTTCAAAGCCTAAACATTTCCTCATAATTCTGAACAATGATCCCTTTGAGACTCCAGATATATCCCTTGGAGGACACAGAATACATTTAATTTGATTAAATTATTCTAGGCCCTGAATACTGATTCTACAAGTCTCACTGAATACCAGTTCTACAAACCATCCCATTTTAATCAAGACTGTAGAGAAAAAATCCACATTATAATTGTAGTGTTTTATCATTAATGTCATCAAATTGAATAAACATTGGTTATTTTGAAGTAATTATTTTAGTAGACCCTGCATATTAGACCACCAGGAAGCTCTGTGGGTGTAGAATGTAAGCTTGCTAACAGTAAACTTTTAACCCTCTTGCTCAATGCTGCTGCTGGCTCCTTATCCATCAGGTAGGTCTCAGCTCAAATGCTGCCTCTGCAGAGTCCTTTCTGGAATACCATATCTGAACATTTTGTCTCTTTACCCTGTTCCCTTGCCTAATGATCTCACCATATTTTTACCATATGAAATACTCACATGTTTTTGTTTGCTTCTTTTTGTTTCTCCCAACTACAAGGTAACTTCCCCATGAGTGACACAGAGTTGACACTCAATGAATATTTGCTAAATGGACACATGACTAGAGGACTCCAAGCCACTAACCTCACCTATCTCTCCTGGCAGGTGAAGGCTGAGCTGAGGAAGCACTGGGTCCGCTTCCTGCTTGCCCGCCACTCGGGCTGCAGAGACTGGTTCCTGGAGAAGAATTTCAGGTTCCTGGGGAAATGTCCCAAGAAGCTCTCAGAGGAAGATGGTGCTGGGACGCTGCAGAAGCTGCAGCTCTCACCTGGTAGTGGTGGACAACTCCTACACCTGGCCACGCAGAGTGAGCTGGGCACCCGGCCCCACCGAGGCAACACTGCCTGGCCCCGAGGCACCAGCCTGTCTGAGAGCAGTGAGGGAGACTTCACTCTGGCCAACACATTGGAGGAGATTCTGGAGGAGAGTGAGATCTAAGGGAGGAGGCCATGCCCTGCCTCTGCTCCGTGGGGACTTGTGACATTTGGGACTGAGAGGGCTGAGGACAGAAAAACAGCTGGGTGGACATTGCTAAGAGTCCAGAATCCATACTCTTTCCAGACACAAGGCACACTTTGACACAAAGTCTGTCTGGAGGTTTCATGCTCATTATGGAAGAGCCTGTGCTAACACTCATAGCTTTCTGCCTGCCCTTGTCATCCTCTAACAGCACTGGGCATGTTTGTCAGGATGATCTGGACCAGTCCCTGGGCCCTGGCCCTAAATGCAACTGAACAGAGCCCTACATAAAGAGAAGGTCCCTACATAGAGAGCAGCCTCCTGTTTAATAGAGGCTGGTCAGAATCTCTTGCTTTACCTCACAGAACACAGTTTCCATCTGAGTTTGGTTAGGGTGTATGAGAAACACCTGGGAAGTATTTTAAATGCAGAGCTCTAGAGTCCTACCAGAAATTCTTGGAGAGAATTTGTCTGGGACAATGGCCAGGAATTGGATTGTTTCACAAGCAAGGCAATTCTCATATAAGTATACACTTTGAAAACATTTGACAGGGGTCTGAGGAAGCTCATAGCCTCCTTGGCCTGGCTCACAGCAGGAAGAAGTGGGAGGGGTCCTGCCTGTACATCTGCCCCCCACTGAGAACGTGTAGCCCCACATAGTCTGCCAGAACCCCATATGTCCTTCTCTCCTCCCCTTCTCGTCCAGTTTCTCCTCCTCATCTTGGTCTCAATTCTTTGTTTTGGGTAAGCAGAAGTTCTGTTTGATCCATCACAACTGAGGCCCCAGCCTTCCTCTACAGCTTGGCCCATGTCCCAGGCCCCAGGGTCCCTGTGAAGCTTTCATTGTTCCTCTCCTTGCCTCTGTGGTACACCTCCTCTCTGAAATTGACCTCTCTTGAGCCTTCCATTCCCCTGTATATATATTTCCCTGACCATTTTTGGTTGGCCATTAGCAAGTTCACAGCTACATGTTATGCTTCAGAATGTTTGCCCACTGCTCTCCTGACATGAGTCCCCTGCTAATAAGACCTCCATCCCCACACAGGAATGGGTGCTAAAAGTGGGAGGGGCCCATATAGAATGATAAGAGAGAGTGAGGCTAAATGTAGATATACTGAGGGAGGCACTGAGAGGCAAGGGCTCATGAGGGCGTGGCTGTGGGACCCACTCTGTCAATAAAACCAAAACCAAACTCACTGCTGTGGAGTCGGATCTGACTCAATAGTGATTCAAAATTGTGCTCTCTACTGTAGGAGCTCTGGTAGCATCGTGCCTAAGGCACTCGACTGCTAACCAGAGGGCTGGTGGTTCAAACCCATCAGCCACTCCTCGGAAGGAAGGTTGGGCAATCTATTTCCGTAGTGATACCGCTTCGAAACCCAAGGAGGCGTCGCTATGAGTTGTGTCCGACTCGACAGCACATAACAACAACAGCACTTTGACTGGAAGGAAAGCTATACAGGCTGAGAGGAGGGCTTAGGTAATTAGAACCATGCTTTCCGTATCTGCAACTATAAGGCAAGAGGTTGAAGGAAGACCAAGGGAAGAACATCTTATGAAAACAGTGTTTTAATGCTCAGATGTGTTGCTTTTTATAGTGTGAAAATGGATGTGTACATAGGTGGGTGGGGTATGTTGCCATGGGACTAAATACTACCCATTTATTAGGGGTAATATGATACTTATCAATTAGGGTTGCCAGATTTAAAATAAAAATATGGGAGGCTCAATCATATTTGACTTTCAGATAATCAGTGAATTTTTCTTTTTGGTATAAATATATCCCATGAAGTTCAAATTTAATTGGGCATCATGGACTTCACCTGGCAACTCTATTGTGAAGGCTACTTTGCAGCAATGCTAGGACTAGAAGGAGGCAAGTGAGGCCCTCTCCTCCAGCACAAAGTTAAAGGAGGTGCCAAAAACCTCAGTCATCCAGACACACATTTTAATGCAATATTAAACAAAATCAAATTGATGAAGTATGGCCCTCAGGGCAGCCACTTATTTTCAGTAATGACATTTTATTAAAATCAGGGCTGGGTTTAGGGTGAGGTGAGTCAGGAAGGGTTGTATAAGTGCATTAATGGATCCTGACATTATTTAAAATTTTTATATTGTATTCATTATGACTTTTTGCATTATTTTTTAAGTTAATCTTTAAAATATTGCATTAAAATATTTTCCCTGGTTAATGAGTTTTTTGGAGCTTCCTTAAATTTTGCATCCGTGGTGAGCATCTCACTTACCTTGCCCTTGTCTCAGCCCTGCTTTGTAGGACAGGAAACTGAAGCAAAGGCATCAGGCAAGTGCATAATTAAGCAAAAGTATATATTTTGGTATCCAGATTTATCTGTAGTTCAAGCTTTAAGATATATGTCTTTCTAATTTTTCCCTTTACTGCAACTATCCCTGACATTTCTCACCAGCCTCTATGCTCCTAAACATAGAGAACCTTTTGGAACTTCCAGCAGTCACCGGCCACAGTATGGTACAGAGTAGGTGCTCTGTACACAATGGTTCAATGAGACAGGACAGAAATTTCTCTCAGGAGCATCAAATGCTGTTGGGATTAAGTCAGGAGGAACATCGTTTTTCAGAGCATTTATAAATGTGTCCTCTGCCCTACACTCACAAACGGAGTAGCATACATGCACTGTTTAGTCCTGCCTTGCTAATTATTAAAATTGTGTTTATTTCATTTTGTTTGTATTTTGTCAGTTCTTTTACATGTGTTTCTCACTGCAGCTGAAGGTCTCTCATGCCCTTGGAGAGTCCAGTGCACTGTTCCATGCCGGAGGTGGAAGGAAGGGCATTTACCAAAAGAGTAGGCAGAGGGGGAGGGACCAAAGGTAGAGGTCAGAAGGAAAGAAAGCAAGTCATTTCTAGACAGTCATTTAGGTCAATCAGTTTACCTATGTCCTTGAAGCCCCAGGCTAGCAGTTCTTAGCTCTGACTACCCATTAGAATCACCTGGGAAGCATTTTCAAAACACTGATGGCTGAGCCTTACCCCAAAGATTCTGACTGAAATTATCTGGGTGGCCCTGGTCATTAGTAGTTTTATAAGTTCCTGAGGGATTTTAATATGGGCCCAAGGTTGAGAACTCTGGACTAGGCAGAGGGGAAGGAAAGGAAGGCTTCCTTTGTAACCAGTAGTACCTCTTTGAAGATCAAATTCCTAGGACTTCCATCTGTGTAGTATTTTGTTGTTAGCTGCTTTTGAGTGGGCCTCCAACTGATGGTGACTCCATGCACAAGAGAACAAAATACTGCCTGGTCCTGCACCAGCCCCTTGGTCAGTTGCAGATCATAGGACTGTTGTGAGCCAAAGGACTTTCATTGGCCAATTTTCAGAAGCAGATCACCAGGCCTTTCTACCTAGTTTGTCTTAGTTTAGAAACTCCACTAAAACTTATTCAGCATCTCATGGCAACACACAAGCCTCCACTGACAGACGGGTGGTGGCTGTGCATGAGGTAGATTGGCTGGGAATTGAACCTGGATCTCCCTCAAGAAAGGTGAGAATTCTACCACTGAACCAGCAAAGCCCCAAGATCTCTTAAAAAACAAAAGCAAAAAGAACCAAACCTGTTGTCATCAAGTCTATTCTGATTCATGGTGACCCCATGTGTACACAGTAAAGTTGTGCTCCGTAAGGTTTTAAAGGTTGTGACCTTTTGTATTTTTCTTCCAAAATGTCTATGGGTGAGTTTGAACTGCCAACCTTTCAGTTAGTAGTTGCGGTGTAGTAAATTACTTAGTGTGGCTTTTCTACCCATAAGTCTTTGTAAACTCCAAGGTGGGATTTGCTATGAACAACTGAGGAGCTACTGATTGCTAAAGTTGTCCACCTGGAGTATTTCTTTTGGGAGTGGCACAAAACAATGTTCTGGGAGGTTCGCACTCTCTCTCAGGTGCTTAGAGTTCTGATGCTATGATTGGCTAGTTTGACCACTCTACCGGGCTCAAACTCTGACTGCTGGTTGAGGAAGACATGCTGCCGAAAGAGACACGCACTCCGGAAGAGAGATGTGCTGCTGGGAAAGAGACGCAAGAGACACGCATTGCTGAGTAAGACACTGAGGGACACGCACTGCTAGGGGAGAGAGCCAAGTCTCTCTGGCTGAAAGACGGTGGGCTGGGAGAGAGACTGAGAGTTTTTTCCTGTAGCCTGGTGCTTCCCTAATAAACCCCATAATCTGTGAGTTCTGTGTGGCCACTGCAGCGAATTATTGAACCCAGGAGAGAGGTGGTGGGTACTTTGGGAGGAATGGTTGGAGAAAGGGATGGAGGGAGGCAGCATGTCTGGCCTCACAGGAATAGGCCTTGGGCTACTGACGGTGATTCTACCTTCCTCTTGTGGGGTTCTAGGAGGTCAGAATATGTGGCCTCCTTGTCCTTTTTTGCAGTAGTCAAGCACTTTAGTGAATATTTTTTTCTACAACCCACCCTTCTTATGCTCATGTTATTGTTGTTGTTATGTGCCATCGAGTCAGACCTGATTCATAGCGACCCCTCCTTGGGTTTCTGAGGTGATATCACGACGGAAGTAGATTACCCAACTTTCCTTCTGTCTTATGCTCATAGCATTCCAATTTTCCTCTTGAAAACTATACATCTCTCACTTTTAGTCTATGAAGTTTGACCTGTCCTGACTCCATACATAGCTCTAGGGGTGAGCATGAAAACCTGTGGCTAATAACATCCTCCCCAGATACTGGCTCAAGGATGGGTATATATCCAGTCAGAGCCAATGAGAGGCAATCCTGGGACTTTGACTGGAACCCTCAAAAGAGAGACATTTCCCCTGTCTTGCTGCAACTGGTACCATGAAGAATCAGCCTGGATCTACTGGTGGCCATTCTGCTAGCATGGGGAAAGCGCACCTGAGAATATAGCCATCACAGCAGAAAGTAGAAGCAAGAGATGGAGAAATAAACCCTGAGAGATTGTTGGAGCCCCTAGATTAAGCCAGACATGAAGCTGGCACTATCCTTGGAATTTCAGTCAGGTTAGCCAATAAGTTTTCATTTGTGCCACCACAGTTTGTGTCAAGTCAAGTCTTCTGTCCTTTGTATCTGGAAGAGTCTTGATGTCACAGCTCTCAATCACATTTACCTCCTTCTCTTTCCTTCAGCCAAGTAAGATTTTCTACTTTTCTCTGGTTCTCTTGGCATATCCCCACCTAGATTGCCAGAGCGTTGTACAGCCCAAGTGTCCCTGCCACCTCAAGGTAACAATAGATGTTTGAGTTAGGTTCTCCACTGGCCAGTAGAAGAGCCAGTGTCCTCTTTATGTCTGTCTTTGGGCCACAGACCAACAAGAACTTTATTACGAATTATCTGTCTTTTTAGCAGGAGCTCTAGTGGCATAGCGCCTACGGCATTTGACTGCTAACCAGAAGGCTGGTGGTTCAAACCCACCAGCCACTCTTTGGAAAGAAGATTGGACTTATGTAGAGATACTGCCTCAGAAACCCAAGGAGGGGTTGCAAATGGTTAATGTACTTGGCTGCTAACCAAAAGATTGGTTCAAGACCACCCAGAGGTGCTTTGAAAGAGAAAAATCAGTCACTGAAAACCCTGTGGAGCACAGTTCTACTCTGACACACATGAGACCTCCATGAGTTGGAGCTGACTTGATGGCAACTGATATCTTTTGGTTGTTTTTTACTCTGTTAGCCTGACCTCAGAGAAAAGTGAAAAGCCCCCAGCCTCACACCCCAACCAATCAGACTCACTCATGTAGGGTAGAGTGCAATGATGGAAAGAACACTGGAGTGAGGCACTGGGCCCTTTGGTTATATCCTAGACCACCCTGAGCTAGCCTCTGGGTCCCTTTTCTCCCCTTGAACTTGCCCCTGATGCTGCTGGGGCACAGTAGGCAACTGATTCTAGTAACAACCCTCCTCCTTCCAGAACCACTGGACTTCATGCTATGTAAGTCCCATCCCCACTCCCAGAACTCTCTCTATTATATCCTATCACGTCTAGGTAGAAACTATTGACACAGCTCAGTGTAATCAAAGGGAGTCTGGAAGGTTTAGTATTACATCCTACTCACATGTCCTGACCTCAGTGTCTTAATCTATAGCCCAACCCAAACCCTTTACCATTGTGTTGATTGCAATTTATAGTGACCCTGTAGGACAGAATAAAACTGTCCCACAGGGTTTCCAAGGGTGTAAATCTTTAGGGAAGCAGACTGATTCATCTTTTTCCAGCACAGTGCCTAGTGAGTTTTAACTGACAACCTTTTGATTTGTAGCCCAATGCTTTAACCACAGCACCAGTGAAGCTCCTTTCATCTGTAACAGGGGGATAATAACAACTACACCAGTGAAATAATTCCTATAAAGCATCCAATATGATGCCTGACTCACAGAAAACACCCCAACAGTGAGTGTTAGGATTATTCTCATGTTCTCCATCCACAAATAGAAGTGCTCTAGGGTCATGGTGATGTGTCACAGAAGTGGCTAAAGCTCAGGGATAGGGTTTGAGGAACATCCACAATGCCGTCAAATGAATACTCCCTCCCTAGGGGGTTCTATAGAGGTCAGGCAAGAACCCAGAGCAGCTGTCAATTTTTCTGCCCTCATCTTGGGACTTAAGGCTAAAGAATCAACAGGCCTTCACATCAATGGAGACAATGTTCCTGTAGAGCCTACTGATGGCATTCTTACATGTCCTGGGCCCTGGAGCTCTGAGCGGGAAGTGCTGGCAGTGGTAGCTCTGGTCCTGCCTTTACCCATTTACTGACTAACCTTGGGCAAGTTCTTCCTGCCTCTGGGCCTCCCTTTCCTCACTTCTGAAATCTGTAGCCTCAGCCATGCTTCTGTCTGTACCCCTCATCATGTCCAAAGCTGAACCCCTCATCATTTACTGAAACCAACAACTTCCCTTAGGTTTCCCATCTTGGTAAATGGCATCAATATTCACCCAGTGTCCAAGTTAGAAACATCCGTGTTCCTCCCTCCTCCTCCCCCACAGCCAGTCAGATGGATTCTGTCTCCTAAATATCTCCTAAGGGATCCAGTCATACACCCCACTGCCACTCCCCTGGCCCAGGTCACCTGGGCAATTGCAAAGTTTGTTGAGCTTTCTGCCTCCAGTCTTTCCTTCAATTTATTCTCCTACACTGCCAGAGGATTCTCTTACAAACATAACCCTCCTACTCCAGCCTGTACAATGGTACCCACTACCCCCCTGGTGAAGCCTCAACTTCATACCATGGTCTACAAAGGTGGCTTTGCACAGTCTGGCCCCTGCCTACATTTTAGGCTTAGATCACACTTCATGCTACCTCCCTGCACTGCTCTCCAGCTACTCCAGCCTTCTCACAGCCCTTGACCTTGAAGTCTCATTCCTGACTCAGGATCTCAGCAGTCCTTCTCCATCCACCATTCCCCCCACCACGGTCCTCACTGGGTTTTAGGTTAGAGGTCTCTTCATCAGGAACTTCTTTCTTGATCCCCCTAAGCCAGTCACTCCCATTATATCTTCCCACAATGCTTTGCACATCTCTATAGTAACCCCAGGCATCTGTCATGCTTCTTCAAGGTGCCTATCCCACTCCGGTCTTCCAAACTCTGAGAAAATAGGACCATTGTCTATCTCCTTCCCACCACAGTCCCAGCATTCTGGCCTACAAATACAATTGCAATGTATCATCTTTTCGGTTCAGTAGGCAGAAATAATGTCTTTTTCTAATTCAAGAACAACCCATCCAGCTGTGGGCCAGCTCCACATGCATTTATTGGAACTTGCTTACCCAGCATCCAACAAAGGAGCTTACAATGGGTGACAATTTGGGCTCTGATTACTTGATCCTGAGATTACCTTGGAGGCATGGGCTGGTGGGGCTGGGGGAGGGGCACTAAAGACAGAGAAGCAAGAACCAGTGGGCTGTTAAAGCTGCTTCTGTTTGGCAGGGAGCTGTACTGTGAGTTTGGAGGCCTCTGTCTGCCTCTAGAGAGCATGTGTATGTGTTTATGTAGCTATGAGTGTTTATGTATGTCTATTGTCTTTATGTAAATTGTGCCAAGAGGGAGGAGAGCTGCATGGTTGGTATCAGGGTTTCTTTTCCTTTAACCTTTCCTTCACTTTTTGAGGCTCAAACTGGATCAGTCGCAGGATTTCTTTATTGGCCAGGGTCCCCTCAATGAACTCCTCCTCTGTAAGTTTATCTGCATGAAGGGGAAAAAAAAAAAAAAAAAAGATTGTTTCAAAATACAATCATGCTGGCATTGGCCACTATGTCCAGCCCAGTATGGCTGCAGCTATTATTAAAATATTGAGTCCTTGCTGTCTCTGAGAGTACCCCACCCTGTCCCAGACACCCTACTCTTCCCCAGGACACTAGGACCCTCCCATAACTCAGCCAAAGAAGTGTTAAAGTCTGGCACTCTTAGGGACGCCCTTCTGATGCTATGCATCTCTTCTGATTAGTGGGTGCCTCTGCCTTGCTGGTTATTCAGTATTTTGAATATTACCCAAGATCTCAAGCCTGAAGTTCTGGGGGACTGAGCACAGTGAAGCACAGTCAGGGCCAGAGTGTCTGTTGAGAAACAGGGAACAATGTCCATCCTAGAAGTAGGGGAGTGAGAGGGTAGAGTCCAGTAGGACACCATGGGGACATGGGCAGTGCAGCCCTATGACTCCTGGCTCACAACTCCTCCATGATTACTCCTTATACCCCCTCCTCCACCCCGATCTATTTCTTATGTTTGGGGTCAGAACCGAGAGAGAGCCTTGCCCCAGTGAGGAATGGTTTGTCAGTTTTTTTTTTTGTTTGTTTGTTTTTTTAGCCAGGTTGTGGTTCTTAGCTGCCATTGAGTCAGCCCTGACCCATGGTGACCCCACACACAAGATCAGACCGTTGTGATCTATACAGTTTTCATTGGCTGATGTTCAGAAGTGGGTCACCATGCCTTTCTTCCTAGTCCATCTTAGTCTAGAAGGTCCACAGAAACTTGTTCAACATAAGAAACACACGAGCCTCCAAAGACAGGTGGGGGATACTGTGCATGAGGTATGTTGGCTGGGACTCGAACCTCGGCCCCCCACATGGAAGGCAAGAGTTCTACCACTGAACCACTAATGCCTCTTTTACAAGGTAGGCTACTGTATTCAGTTCAAGGAAATACAAGTTACTGAGCCCTTCCTCTGTGCCAGACACCAGTGTACTTGGGGCTGAGGCTTTTGTAGGGGGTTGAGGGAGGCATGGAAGAGAATGAGGGAAAGTTCTTGTTCCCCAGGAAACTCTTGGTCTCCTAGGGAAGGTGATTCCATGTAGAAATATCTCTAGGAGGAGATAGGTGCTGCTTTCTGCTCATAGTTGTATTCTATACCTAGGACATAGTAGGTGTTCAACAAAGCTTTGCAGAACCGAATTAGATTTCTATGGGCTTCTGTGTCTTTTAATTACCCTTAATTCTTACTCTACCCTTCAGCACTGTCAGCTCAAGGGTGGCAGCAGAACTGGCCCCTGCTGGCCCTGGTGGCCATGCCCTGCATATGCCCTGCAGAAAGCCCTGGAAATGCACGATGGGATGAGGTGTGGCCAGGCCTGCCTAGGAACTATGACTGAGGATACATTTTGTCAAGGTCTCCAGGAAATAGCTCATGGCTATAAAATCAAAGACTATGAAGTAAAAGTATTCACCATCATCTTTCTTTCCAAAAAATCTCCAGATTTTCTCAGCTCGCTTTTCTGGCGTGTTTTCATCATCTGGAAGATGCTTCACATCCTCAGGGTTGATCATTTTGAAAATAGCCTGCACCAAATTGAGAGAATGAACTCGTTAGAAGGAGCAGGAGCGGCTGGCAACCCTGGACAAACCTTCATCAGGGGCTTTGAGTTACCTGCACTACGATTTTCCTCCTTTGGTGCCCACATAACCTCGGGGTCTAAATGTCCTCTAATGTAATGGGTAACATACACATGTCCAGGCCCCAGCCTGCCACCTTGAATCAAAATCCCTGGGGGTGAGGCCTAGGCATCTGAATTTTCAAAAGATCCTCAGAATTGGCAGCGAATGTGGGAAGAGTGCAAAAAAATCCCCTTCCTCCATTTCTTCTTCCTTTTTCCTCAGGAGCATCAACATATAGATTTTTCCTGGGAATAACATCCCTTAGATGACTCTGAGGACTCAGCTAGATCTCCTGGGTGGTGCAAATGGTTAACACATTTGGCTGCTAACCAAAAGCTGGAGGTTCAAATCAACCTAGAGGTGCCTTCAAAGAAAGGGCTGGTGATTTACTTCCAAAACAATCAGCCATTAAACTACAGTGCACAGTTTTACTCTGATACACATGAGGTTGCCATGAGTCAGAATCAAGGCAATTGACTTTAGTGGAGGACTTAGCCACTGTCTCAGGCCACCCTCAAGACCTCAAATCCAACCCAAAGGGAGCCTGCGCTCTAAGATGTGCCAGATGACAAAGAGGTTCCCACATGACTACCCTTAACAGGAGGCCTGGGCAAAACACGAAGCTGAGGGTACTCACCACAACCTTCATTCTTTGTCATTTTATTTGTTTTGTCCTCATAAAGGTAGGAGAATTGTGCAAATGAAAGCGCAATTACAAATCATATAAAATATGAAAAAAAATTCTCTCCCTCACAGAAAAGGAATTAGAAAAATAGAGCAAGTGCTATGGGGGGGGGGGCTTGAGGAAAAAATAAAATAAATAAAAATACTAAATTAAAAAAATATGACTGGCATAATAGAAAAAAAGTAAGCAAACATCTAACTGCTCAGAAATCTAGGAATGGTTAAATTATAAGAAGCTATTCAAAATGTAGGAGCTCTGGTGGCATAGTTCTTAAGGCATCTGACTGCTAACCAGAAGGCTGGTGGTTCAAACCCACCAGCCACTCCTCGGAAGGAAGGTTGGGCAATCTACTTCCGTAGTGATACTGCCCCAGAAACCCAAGGTGAGTTTGCTATGAGTCGAGTCTGACTCAACGGCAGTGTTTTGCATTGTTGCGTATTCAAAATGTTTTTGGAGAATAGTTAATGCTCTAGAAAACACTCATGTGAAAACAGTAACTGAAAAAGTATGATAAAAATCACATATAAATATGTAATCTAAAATTGTTTAAAAATACATAGATAAAAGGCCAGAAAGGTGTAGGAAAACCAACCGGTTACCATCAAGTTGATTTTGACTCATGGTGACCTCGTGTATGTTATAGCAAACCTGCACTCCACAGGGTTTTCAACAGCTGATTTTTCAGAAGTAGACAGCCAGGCCTTTCTTCTAAGGTGCCTCTGGGGGGTACTTGAACCTCCAACCTTTTGGTTAGCAGCCAAGTGCATTAACCAGACAGGGACTCCAGAAAGGTATGTACCAATAAGGTAATAGTAGTTTTCTTTGAGTGATAGAATTAAAGGCAATTTTTATTTGCATATACATCTAAATTTCATGAATTATTCTACAGTGAGGAAAAACCATGTTACAGACACCTAAAACATTAACGACAAATGAGGGCAGTATGCTCAGAGAAGAAATGAGTGTTGCAATATATATGAAGGAAGGCAGTGTCAGCCTGTAAGAAGATTCTAGTAGGATCCAGTAGTTAAATTGTTCTAAAACATGAGACAGGTGAGAAAGCTGAGACTCACAGGGTGAAGTGACCCACAAAATGTTATGAGGAAAATTAGGTCTAGAACCCAGATTTTTTTCCCCTTTCATATCTTCCTACTGTATATATTTGTGACGTTATGGGTTTTAGATTTAATTGTGATAGAATTTAAATGTATATTGTTACGTTTGAAAGACGTTTTATTGAAGGAAGGAAGAAGTAAAAGAAGGAGGGAAAGAACAAAGTAATGAAGGAGGGGGGTGGAAGGACAGAAGCCAGAAAGAAGGAAAAAAAAAAAGGAGAAAAGGAGGGAGGGGGAAAGAAGAGATAGAGGGAAGAGGGAGGGGGAGGGAAGGAAGAAGGAAAGAAGGGATAAAAGGAGAGAAGGAGCATAAAAAGATCTGAATACTGGGAAATTCTTCTTTAGGAAGAAAATCAAGCCGTGGGAATGTGCCCATCCCTCTATAGCATCAGTCTATTATCATATACTCATAGCCCTAGAGCCATAAAGCCTGTATCCCCTGCTCCACCATTCAGACCTGGCCCAGCCTGTCTCAAGCTCTAGCCCCTTCTGCAGCAACAGCAGTAGCAGGAGGCCTGACCAAGAATAAGTTCAGCCCCCCATCCAAGTTAAGGGCCAAGGGCAGAGACTGACCATAACAATCTCAAGCACTTCACTTTTGCTGATGGAGCCATTGCCATCCACGTCATAGAGGGAGAAGGCCCACTCTAGCTTCTGGTTGGGCTTGCCTGCAGTGGTCATGTGCAGGGCGATGACATACTCCTTGAAGTCCAGGGTGCCATCACTGTTGGCATCAAAGCTACGGAACACATGCTGGGCATAGGCCTTGGGGTCAGCATCTGGGAAGAATTTAGAATAGATACTCTCGAACTCCTGCCGTGTGATGCGGCCGCTGGGGCACTCCTTCAGGAAGGACTGGTACCAGGTGCAGAGCTCCTCCTCTGTGAACTTGGTATTCAGCTGCAGCTCCTCCAGGATCTCCTTGGACAGGGCCCCGCTCTTACTGTTTCCCATTGGTGAGGCCAAGTGGGCACCAGTTGGTGGTCGCTACCGGCTGGGTGAGTGGGATGTGGTCTTCTGGCTGCTGGCCTTGGTGCTGCCGTGAGACAGGAGACAAAGACACGGAGGATTAGGAGGATTTGTGGCCAGTTCTGTCTGGTACTTGGAGGGAGGAGGGGCCCTGGAGCTTCGGTTGGGGGAAGGACAGGCTCCCAGAACCCTCTTGAGATTAAAATGAACAGCTGAAAGTAGGTGATGGATTGATCTTGGTCCCTTGGGAGAATGCTGGGAGGATAGGACAGGAGGTCAGAGCTTCAGAGTAAGCCCACTACTGTTAAATGGTCTCTGACTTATGGTGGCCCCATGGTGCAGAGTAGAACTGCTGCCCAGGGTTTTCAAGGCTGTGACATTTTTGGAGCAGTGCAACAGTGTTTCTTCCAAGGTGCCTCTGGATGAGTTTAAACCACCAACCTTTCAGTGAGTAGTCAAATGTTTAAATATTTATGTCACACAGGGACTCTTCAGAGCTTGAACCCTGTGCCAAGGCCTTTCCCCACTACCCTCATCCATCTCGCCAGGACCCGCAGGATATGCCGAGCTCTCTAAGAGCAATACTGTTCACTGCTGTTCTTCTGTACTCACCTGAAGCTTCTTGGTGCTTCTGGGTAGGAATGGCATCTCCTAACAAACCATTTAATAAGTAGGGGTCACTATGAGTCGGGTCCAACTTGATGGCACATAAAAACAACAAGAAGTCTCAGCGGTTTCCTCAGTCTGTATCTGATTTTTTTTTTTTTTTTTAATCTCACTCTATCCAGGCTGTCCGATTTTGATCCCCTTCTGAATGGTGGCATTGGTAGCCGGGTACCATCTACTTCTGGTCTCAGGGTCATGGAGGCTGGGGTTTGTGAGGTTCATTAGTCCTTTGGACTAATTGTTTCCCTGCATTGTTGATTTTCTTCACTCTTTTTTGCTCTGAACAAAGAGAGAGACCAATAGTTGCATCTCAGATGGCAGCTAACAAGCTTTTGAGACCCCAGTTGCTATTCACCCCAGTTCTAAAGTAAGATGTAGAACAATATTTTTGTGTACTATGTTGTGCCAATTGAGCTTGATGTCCCCTGCCACCATGGTCCCCAGCCTGGAGGCCCAATGACTCACTCCCTCAAGGTGCTTTGTTGTGGCTAAGAAGTTATCCTAACTTTGTCCCCTTTTGGCTTTATACTGTACATGGAATATCGCCTACCAAACCTGTGTATGATCATGGGTATATTCCCTTTCACCTGTTCATACCTGATTTTCTTGCCTGTGTACCTATGTATCCAGCCATAGATTAGTGTTTGCTATTACTGATAATGAAGGAGTTCTGGTGGCATAGCACCTAAGGCATTTGACTGCCAACCAGAGGTTGGCGGTTCAAATCTACCAGCAACTCTATGGAAGGAAGACCGGGCAATCTACTTCCATAAAGATTTACTGCCTCAGAAACCCAAAGCAGGTTGCTATGAGCCAGAATCGACTCAATGTAAGTGAGTTTTTTTTTGTTTTTTTTTTTGTTACGGAAAACACAATATTATGTATGTGATAATATTTATTGTCTGCAACTTTTGTGCACTTCTTCATATCTGCCTTTTCCTTAGTGATACTGTGCTTGTCACATGCTTTTGTTATATTGCTTAAACCCATATCAACACTTGTCTCTTAACTATCCATATCTTTTCCCTTCTTTCCCCTCCCCTCCCATCCATAATAACCAACAAAGACAATTTCCTTCCCTGGGCAACCCTTTCCTTCACTTTGTAATAACAGATTCATACAATACTTGTCCTTCTCTGATTGACTTATTTCAGTCAACATAATATCTTCCAAAAGGAGCTCTGGTGGTACAGTGCCTAAGGCATTTGACTGCTAACCAGGATGTTGGCAGTTCAAACCCACCAGCTGCTCTGCAGAAGGAAGATGGGGCAATCTACTTTCATAAAGATTCATAGCTTTGGAAACCCAATAGGGATCACTGTGAGTTAGAATCAACTTGATGGCAGTAAGTTGTTTTTTTTTTTTTTTTTTAATGTCCTGCAAGATCATCACATTATGAGGTGATTTGCTGATTTTTTATTACTCTTTAATGATGCATAGTATTCTATTGTGTGTATGTACCATAGTTCGGTTAGCCATTCATCTATTGATAGGCACTTAGGTTGTTTCAATCTCTTTGCTATTGTAAATAGTGCTGCAATGAACATGGGTATGCAAATATCTATTTGTGTCCTGAAACTCACCTCTTTAGGATACATTCCTAGTAGTTTGATTGTTGGATCAACATTTTGTTAAGGTAGTGCCATACCAATTTATTCAGGGGGTATACCATTTTACAGTCCAACAAGGAAGTGTGTAAGAGTTCCAATCTCTCCACAACCTCACCAGCATTTGTTGTTTTCTGTTTTGTTGAATTTTGCTATTATTGCTAAAGTGAGATGATATCTCATTGTTGTTTTGATTTCCATCTCTCTAATGGCTAATGAAGGTTGGGCAATCCTACTTCCGTAGTGATACTGCCTCAGAAACCCAAGGAGGGGTCGCTATGAGTCGGGGCTGACTCGACAGCAAATAACAACAACAACAACAACAAATGGCTAATGATCATGAGCATTTCTTCATGTATTTATTGGCTGCCTGAATAAGTTCTTTGGTGAAATGTCTGATATTCTTTGGCCATTTTTGAATTGGATTGTCTTTTTAATGTTGAGGTGTTGAAGTTTCCTATAAATTTTAGAGATAAACCTCTTACCAGATACATCATTCCCAAATATTTTTCCCCAAAATTGGTAGGTTTTCTTTTCACTCTTTTGCAGAAGTCTTTTGACGCAAATAAGAATTTAATTTTTAAAAGTCCCAGTCATCTAGCTTCTCTTCTGTTGTTTGTGCATTTTGGGTTATGCTTGACAGCCTATGCCATAAATTAAGGCCCTTAAGTTTGTCCCTATTTTATATTGATGAACTTTGTAGCTTTGGGTTTTATGTTTATGACTTTGATACATCTTGAGTTCTTTTTTATGTATGGTTTGAGGTATGGATCTTGTTTCATTTTTCTGCAAATGGATATCCAATATTGCCAGTTTTGTTAAAGAGGCTATCTCTTCCCCACTGAATTGGTTTCAGCCAATCAAAGCTCAGCTGTCCATATTTGGATGGATCTGTTCCTGAATTCTCATTTCTGTTCCACAGGTCCATGTGTCAACTATTATACCAACACCAGGCTGTTCTGAGTACAGTATAGTAGATTTTAAGATTCTGGAGTGTAAGACTTCTTATTTCATTCCCTTCCCCCCTCTCAGTAGTCCTTTGCTCATCCAAGCTCTCTTTTTCATATAAAATTAATCATTGTTTTTTCCATCTTCTTAAAAAATATTGATGGGATTTGGATTTGGATTGCACTGAATTTATAGATTGCTTTGGGTAGTATTGGCACTTTCACAATGTTCAATCTTCCTATCCATGAACATGGCATATTCTCCCCCTTTTATGTAGGTCTTGTATAGTTTCTTGTAGTAGTGGTTGTACTTTTCATTGTATAGGTCTTATGTGTCCCTGCTAAGATTTATTCCTAAGTACTTTATCTTTTCAGTAGCTATTGTAAATGGTATTATTGTTTTCCTTATTTCCTTTTCAGAGATCTCTTTAATAATGTAGAGGAATCCAACTGATTTTTTTCATGTTCATCTTGTATCCTGCCACTTTGCTGAACCTTTCAATTAGCTCATTTCAGCACTTTTCACATCTATGATTCAGTGACACCAATTACATTAGTCATATTGTGCAACCATCACCAATACAAGTAAGTTGCTTAATCTCTTTCTGCCTGGGATATTCTTCTCCTAATTCTTCACCTGTGTCATGCTGTTTTTATTGTTAGTTGTCATGAAGTGGGTCTGACTCAAAGTGACCCTATGTACAATTGTTGTTGTTGTTGTTGTTATGTGCCGTCAAGTCGGCCCCGACTCATAGTGACCCCTCCTTGGGTTTCTGAGGCAGTATCACTATGGAAGTAGGATTGCCCAACCTTCCTTCCAAGGAGTGGCTGGTGGGTTTGAACCACCAGCCTTCTGGTTAGCAGTCAAGTGCCTTAGCCACTATGCTACCAGAGCTCCCCCTATGTACAATAGAAAGAAAAAAAAAAAAAAAAAAACCCTGCTTAGTCTTGCACCATCCTCACAATCATTGCTATGTTTGAGCCCATTGTTGCAGCCCCTGTGTCATCTCATGGAGGGTTTCCTCTTTTTCACTGACCCTCTACTTTACCAAGCATGATGTTCTTCTCCAGGGACTGGTCCCTCCTGATAACATGTCCAAAGTACATGAGACAAAGTGTTGCCATCCTCACTCCTAAGGAGCATTATGACTGTACTTCTTCCAGACAAATTTGTTTGTTCTTCCAGCAGTCCATGGTATATTCAGCATTCTTCACCAACACCATAATTCAAATGCATCAATTCTTTAGTCTTCCTTATTCTATTGTCCATCTTTCATGTGCATATGAAGCTATTAGAAATACCATAGCTTGGGTCAGGTGCATCTTAATCCTCAAAGTGATGTCTTTGCTTTTTCACACTTGAAAGAGGAGGTCTTTTGCACTTTTTAGATTGATTTTTTTTTTTGTCTGAGTGGGAGGAAGCAACCATGACCATATGACCCAACCATACCTGCACCTCCAGGCCCACATACTGAGGGCCACCAGTTGCTTCTGCACCAATGATGCCAATGATACATGACAGACAATACAAGCCTGACTCACCTTTAACTGCTTTTCACAAACAGTTAACAGAAATCTGTGAAATGACTCTCATACTCTCTCACACCTACCAGGAGATAGGTAGTAAGTACTTAAGTGCTGCCGACTAGAAAATAGAGGAGCACAGATACCCTGCTTCCTCAGATACATTTAAACAAAACAAAGAAAATTAAAATCTTGGGTAAATCACTCCAACAGACAATCACCAATTAAATATAAATGCAGC